TATATATATAGTTTTATACATTCGTTGATATTGATAACCCTAACCCTAACATGCTTTGTGAGCCAATATGGATTGCACAATCACACAAAAGGTTGCAGCAGGATGGACATGTGTAAAACAAATATGTGAGGTTGTGTTTAGTGGCAACCCCTGCAGAGGGGAACCACTGAAAGACCACAACCGATAATATTTATAGTGGTTAGTTTTATTTAATGTTGTATTGACAAAATATGTAAAGAATAAATAAAGTTGTGATGTGTAATTTTGTGACCCCCAGTGGACCTCCTGGCTACTGAAATCTTCAGCTGTGGGTGAAGTTCATCAGAAACACTTCTTCCTTTTCTCCTTGTATCTCGTCCTCTGGTTGAGTTACCCAGTGGAACACATTTTGAACAGGTGCCCAGTGAAGCTACACAGAGAGAGACACACACACACTTGCACCCTCAACCGTTGTAACTTGATGCTGACTTCCAGCACACCAGTAGTTCCTGATATGCCCACAGTTCATGTCCAAGTGCATACACTAGGACACGAGGAGTTAACACTTCTGATTAAGGTATCTCCCTGTACATGTATCTGCTGACCTTTGACCTTTAACCCTGGCATTAAATTGACCAAAGCTTAAAGAGCTGAAGAAATGATCTGTGGGAGCAGTCAGGTTGGTGTAGAAACACACAGTGGAGTTGAAACCCTAAACCCAGTTTACAAATTGCAGGGTGCTCCTTTTGATTATTAGGAGCTATTTGAGGGGGCAGTGTTTCACACAAAAGCATCTTAAACTGTACAAGAACCAGAGATTAGACCTTCGTATTTACCTACCACTGATTCACAGCAATTAATTTGTCATGAGACCATTTCTGGGTTGACTCTCAGAGATGGTGTTTTGCTGCTTTTAGCTTTCAGTAACTGCTTTGTTGATTGTAGCTTTAAATTTAAATTTAGAAAATTTTAACTTTTGGTTTGTGGAAGCTTAACATTTGTTTGTCTTGTTTTTACTTTCACAAATTAGGTTCAGCTTTAACAAAGTCACCTAGTATTCACTCTCCATTTTCACAGAAAATGTCTTTTCTTTAATTTGTATTACCTTTAATAAATACGCCATATACCCAGTGGTGGGCAGCACTAATCTGAATATTAGTTGCACTAACCCTAAAGCACTACTGAAACATTTAGGTCCCCTAATTCTAAAGAACTAACGCATTGAAAAATTCAGGCAAAGCTAATTATAAAGCACTAGTTATGAACTTTATTCATTTCATAAAACAATTCTATGTAYAACAAAAAAGAAAATACAAATAAAATGAAATGAAAGGTGACAGAGAAGAAAAAAATCTTATAATATCTGACCCTTTTTTCTCAAATATAGATTCAAACTATAATAATCTTCAGTTAACAATAACAAAACATTGATACTTTCTAAAACAACAAATAATATAATCCAGTTGACAGATAAAACATTCTTCAGCGTCAACATGAGACAATATTTACTGTGTGCAGAATATTGTCACTTAATGTCCTTAGCGGGCCAAATGGGAGTCACCCACAGGCCGCATTTGGCCCGTGGGCCTTGAGTTGGATTCGTGACCTTGTAGATAAGTGACACACATATGAACAAAATGTATGACAGCTTTCACCCTCAACTGTAAACAATAATGTTGATCAAAAACATTTAAAGACCTCAGTTAGTGCTTTTAAATTTAGCCTATAAATTTAGCAAATGCTAATCCACTAATGAATTTTAAAAAATGGCAAAAGCCCTAAAGCACTAATCAAGAAATTAGTTGCCCTATCAGTGCTAGGAACTGTGCTAGGGCACATAAGGAACTGTGCCCACCATTGCATATACCTTTCAATATTTCTGTCTTACACTGTTTTGTGTGCTGCATTTGAATTTTCATTATTGCTCAAAGTAAAACTCTTTGGTCAATAAACTTGATGCCATGAAATGGAGTGACATGCAGTGAGATGGAAMAGGATAAAATGAAACAAGTCAGATGCAGTAAGATGGCGTGAGATACAGTGAGATATCATGAGATGCAGGAAGACAGAGGGATATGAGATGAAATGGAGTGAGATGAAGTAATACAGAGCGAGACGAAGTAAGATATGAGATGAAATAGGATTGCATGAAATGAGTAAGACAGAGTAAGATGCAGTAAAATGACATGAGACCCAGTGAGGC